TTTGACACTGCCGTTCCACAACACGGTCGCAGAGGAGATGATCGAATTGACGTTGATGCCGAGATGTTCGCGTTTGGGATCCCATTCGTTGGAGAAGGTATCGAACTCTACGGCCACGGCGTTAATTGTGGAATTTATGATGCTTATATTGGAGAAGAGGCCGAGGTAGCCACCTTCGGAATAGACAGGCGTACCGGAAGAAGAATAATTGGCCGTGAGGAAGAACGCGAGGCCGTCGGCATAGTTCTCCTCGTGGGAGTGGATGAGGAAGGCGAATTGGGTGGTGAAATCAGTCAGTTCTCCCGTCTTGGCATCCCACAGGAGCAGCGGTTCACTGTACAGTACTCTGCCGACGCTAGCCATGTTGGCTCCATCCTTGGTGAGTAGTATGGTGGTGTCGTTGATGACTACGTTGCCTTGAACGGTCATCTTCGACATTGTGTCTTGATTGAAACCGGAGAAGTTGAAGGACAGAGAGCTCGTACAGGCGATCATGGTGGAGAAGCAGAACAGAAGGCATAAAGCCCTCGCTCTGTGCGGCATCATGGCTGACAAATTCACAGAGATCATTGCTCATTAGAGAAGAAGATGCCAACACAGCTTATCATCATAAACCAGATGTTCTAAAAGCTAAAATATAGGGAATCTGCCAAGTTTTCATCAGAATGAGAGAGAAGCTAGTCAACAATTTTGACAGTTAAAACTAAGTAATCCACCAAAAAGTATAACTTTTTTTTTTGTTAGATTATATGATTCTATTTAATTAGATAAATATAATATAAATTTAATAAAAAAATTTATTTATGATAGATTTCTTAAAAGATAACATGAGAAACTTTCCTAATTACTTATAATAGATCCTAATTCTAAAGACTCAATATGATAATATACACAAGAATTAGAGAAAGATATTATAATTCTCTTTACAAATCGATATTGTTACATTCTACATATTGAACTACGTTCTACAAATCAAATAAAGGTATTTTGAATGGTATTGAAAGATATGCACATATAATATTTGATATATAGATGTTTGATTTCATATTCTAACATTAAATTTATTTTATATAATAGTATTATATGATTTTATGCTTACAATTAGCATCAAAGCCTATTGTTTTGAAGTCGAATACATTAGATCATAAAAATATATCATATATATTTTGTTTTAGATATATTTATTAGCATCTTTGCTTGCAAAATTATGTTGTCCAATTTTGATCTACGATACGTTGTTAACAACTTGTTGTCGACGACAACAATATGGACAACAACAACTTTCTACGGTTGCTAGCCCTATCGTGGATGATTTATGTTCATAACAAAGATACATGTCGGCGTTGCCATAAATGACATGTTGTCGTTGGAGGTGCGATGATTGGTCGACGACCTACTATGGTCGTTGGACTTAAGGTGTGATGGCCTATTGCATGCGATGGAGTCATCGCTACTGTCGGTGGTAACCCATCCCACTGTGGCTACCAATCTTGCCTAGGTAGTGGTGGCGGTCATTTGCCCATATGTGGTGACCATGATATGGGTGGTTGAAGTTATTAATGGTAGACATCAACATTGTAGGACAATTGTAAGGCTGTTGGTCTAGTGAGTGCTAGTCATAGGTGCCCTATAAGTCAATCATGTGAGTGATGGTATGTGTGACATGATACATGTTCTTTTTACTTATTATATTATTTGACATTTTATCACTTTATATTATTTTTTACATATGTATATATTGTGATGTCCGTGGATCTATGTAATGATAATCGGATCATGATGAGATCACGATAATGAGACTGATTCACCTTTAAACACAAATCCTAAATAATCTCGATTATAGATTACCCGAGAGGGACATCGAGATAACTGTAGAGACTGATATACTATATATCTATCCATATGATGGAGGTGACTAGTCACATAGCTGCTCGTGTGAGACACTAAGGATACAATGCAGGTGCTCATTAGAGAATGAGTTCATTGATTGATTCGCTCATAGAATATTGGATGGTTGATGATGCCTTATTGTTATACAACAATTCCATCGTCTTAGTGGTGTATCTAGTCCTTAGACTTGAGATACCAAATATGTCCTATATGAGTACTCCACTCTTTGATACCAGATTTATAAGTCTAGAAACTCTAGATCTAATATTGCTTGTTATTAGGAGTGATAGCCAACCTTACGAGGGCTATTAAGTGTCAATAGAGGAATATCCACTCTCGGTGTTATGAGAGAAATATCTCATGTATTCTTACTTAGACAAATTACTAGCTATGGTCATTCAGAATGAGAGAGATAGAGTTCTCCAAGAGAATCCGATTAGAGTGAGACTCGAGTAAAAACTATATGGGCTTTACAGCACCATACTTGGAATACAATCTTTGGGATATTAAATGGATGAGGGACTATAGATACATGGTAATTGAGAACAAACAGGTCTAAAAGATTGGATTCTCTTGTATCGTTTTGAGACTGCGGTGTAGTGGCATAGTATGTTCGTAGTCGATGAGTCAAGTGAATTATCAAGGAGATAATAATTCATTGAGCCAGAAGAAGTTCTGATAGGTATGTCTCATGGCCAGCTCGATATTAGGCCTAGAGGGTCATACACATATAATAGGTATTGTGACTGAGTAGATATTCGGATATGAGATATCTGTTGGAGCCCATATCTTATTGGATATCTAATAAACCCCTAAGTTATTGGATCATATGGATGAAATTCAATAAGAGTCAATGAAGGATTATTAGATAGATACCCATTAATCTAAGAGGCTTAGATAGTTGGATAGAGATCCAGTACCCAATATTGCAGGATCCATTATAGGAAAGAACCAAAGGGTCATGAGCTAGGTTTTTTGGCTGCCACCTCTTATTCTCCTCTCCCCTTCTCCTCCTCAACCTGTAGTCCCTATTTGGGGCATGTGGACAACATGAAGGGGCAGCCTCTTCTAGATTACGTGGTGCGCACTAGGAAGACATTTTAGGCAGCGATTTGAAGAGCGTCTTCGTAGCCCCTACCATGTGGATCATCATTAAAGAGGAGAATAGTTGACCTCCTTCATCCTCTCTCATAGATCTATAAGTTTTTAGGGATATACGATCTTCTTAGGTAATACATATTTTTTTATACGCGTAGTTTTCTGTTTCGCGAGTTTTTGCGCACCAACTTTTGTACAACGATAAAACCTTCTTTTCTACGAAAAATTCTGAGACTTTTTTAATTTTTTATTCTTCATATGACACCACACTAGATTTTCCAATAGTGAGGAG